GGGCCGGGCCCGCCGCTACGGGGCGCCCGGGGGCAGCCCCGGCCCCATCGCGCCCCGCAGCCCCGGCCCCATCGCGCCCCGCGGCTCCCTGGATCCCGCAGCCCTGGACCTCCCAGCATCGCATCCCCTCGGGCCTCTCTGCCAGCACCCACGGCTCCCCGCACCCTGCACCCCCGTCCTGGGACCCTGCACCCACGGGCCCCCCGGCACCCCTTCACCAGCACCCTCCCCGCCGCAGGCTGCGCTGCCCGCTCTGCATGTCCCCCTGCGTGGGGAACGGGGACCAGTGCCGCTGCCAGCAGCAGGAGTCCGGGCAGGGCAAGGATCGCTGTGCTTGGGATTTAGTCTCTTGTAATGGCACAGGGTAAAGCAATGCAGGACGTGAAGCAAAGCCCTGAGCGTGTGTAACTTCAAAGCCTTAAACATCAGCACCTACAGCTACAAAATCTTCTCCCCTGATCCTGGCACCAGCCCTTCCCAAGGCTGGCATGGCCTTCAGGGGATTAGTTGGGATTTTGCACCTTTAGGGCCTGATCCTGGCTCTTGCCCCGTGTGTCCCTTTCCTTCTCCTCCAGCAGGAAGGGGAGCAGAAGGTTTCCTGGCTGCTTTCGTGGCGTCACTGCAGGGGTCGGTCACGTCAGGGCTCACTCTCTGCTGCTGACAGCTTTGCTGTTGGGGACACCGCTCTCCAGCAGCCCATGAACCCCACTGGTGCCCAGTGCCGTGACCTCCATAAGTGGAACCGACCCCCTCTGTGCACAGGTACCCGCTGCCCGCAGGGCAGCCGTGCCAGCACCCCCAGCCGCCTCCAGCCCCGGGAACCCAGAGCAAGTGGAAACCACAACTCTGCAAACACCAGGAGTGCCCAAAACAATGCATCTCTGAGGCAGAGAGCTTGGGTCTGAACAAACATAAATAAATATCTTTATTTACAGAAAACCAACTTAATATCCTACAAATCTTCTTGGAAGGTCCCTGCCACCTCTGCCAAGCCCCGCATCTCCGTCAGCCCTGGAAGAAAAGCAAGCGGCACGGCCCTTTGGCTAAGGAGCAGCGCCTCGCTGAGCAGAGCTGGGGGTTCCTGAGCTGGCTCAGCGGCAGCAGCTGCTTTGGGTTGGGGTTTGCCCTGACGGGCATTAGATTTGCCAGAGCCTGGGGACACGCTGGGGAGAGCGAGACTGCTGCCAGCGCTAAGCCCCGGCTGGGCTTAGGGTTAGACTTGGGTTGCCTGGCCCTAAGAAATCGCTCCCTTCCCAAAGCAGGCGGGTGCTCCGGGCAGCACGGTGATGGTGGTTGTGCCGCCAGGACGAGGGGAGTGGGCAATTGCGTCCCTGCAGCGGGGCCCACCCGACCCAGCCCCAGCCCGGCGGCAGGCGACCCACCCTGACCGCGGGCAGTGGATGGGGAGCACGTGCCTGTCCTGCTGCCGGTGGGTCCGTCTCCATTGCCATCTCCCACTCCACGTCCACCTCCATCTTCTCCTCCATCTCTACCTCCCTCCCCGCTTCCACGCTGCTGGCAGACACCTCTGCAGCCTCCAGCACGAGGTAGCACAACCTAAGCCGAAAGCCAAGCAGAAAAGTGCATTGATCCTGCTCTGGCCAGCCGAGCAGAGCTGTGGGATGGGGGTCTCGGCACCCCTGCCCCCTCTTGCTGCCGGGGGAGAGCCGTGGGACAATGGGGCCCCTGGGCATGTCCCCAGCACAAGCTGGTTGGAGGCTGGGTGGCTCCTTGGCCACCAGCACCCACCAGCACCCACCAGCACTGACGGGCCAGCGCCTGCAGCCAGAGGATCCTGCGCTTCGTGCGCTTCAGCAGCTTGGGGAGTGGCAAGGTCTTGTGGATCTGCCGGAGCAGAGAGGGCAGGGGTGAGTGGCCCTGCTCCCTGCCCCGTGGGGCCCCGGGCACAGAACCCGGCCCCACGCCTGCCTTGGCGCCCAGAAGCTCCTTACTCTGCGCAGGTGGCTTTTCGGCTCTGCACTGCTCCATGGGCAGGGCTGAGCTCCCGTGGCTCCAGCCTGGAAAGGGGCAGAGGAGGCACCGGCTCAGGCTCAGGACAGGACCCTCTGCTCCCGGTGAGCATCCCTCGGGCACAAGCCTGGGGCGCCCTGGGCTCCCCCAGGGACATGTCCCCCTGGGTAGGGATGCTCAATTTCAGCAGGGGATGAGCAGCCCAGAAGGGCTTCTCTCAGCCTGTGGCCTTGCAGGGTGGGTGGAGAGCGTGAGCCAAGCCCTGGCCCCCCCAAGCTCCCCAGAGCGGGTTCCCCACCCTGCGCCATCCCCGCGGTGCCTGCTCCAGCCTGCCTGGGCAGTGGGGGGTGCCCCCCTCCATGGAGCAGGGCTGTACCTCCAGCAGCACAAGCGTCCTCTTCCTCCGGGCCTTCATGACGCCACCCAGATGGGGACCGAGGCTCTGGGAGAGGCGAGAAGGGCTGGGTCGTGCGTCCGAGGCACCAGGAGCAGGGGAGAAGGGCTGCGTCGTGCTCGTCGCCAGGCACCGGCAGCTGCAGCTGGAACATGGGCTGTGACATCACACCTCTGTGACACGGGAGCTCCGGTGCTGGCTGCGCAGCAGGGGATGGGGACGATCCTTAAGTGGGTGGGGGCAGCTTCATGGGGAACGTTAGGGAATTTTTATCTTATCCCTCGAGGTGAATTAAGCACACTTTTTTGCTTAAATATAAAATAAACTGAATGAACGCTGCGTTGGGCAGTCTTGCGGCCAGCAGTGGTTCTTCAAGGAGTCTGCAGAGATGCATCAGGAGCAGATCCCTTATATCCACTTGCCCCAGCACCCATCCCTGAGCGGTTGCATGAGGCACCTCAGCCCGGACGTGGGTCCGTCCCCCAGCCCAGCTCCGCTGCCCAGAGGTGGCCCCTGAGCGCTCCCATCCCAGGATGGCTGCAGGACAACGCTGTGGCTGTTCCTGCTCTCATCCCCAAGGCAAACTCCACCCCCTTGCAGGGAGTCCTGCTGGCTCTGGCATCCCTGCTGCCAGCCAGCTCAACCCCTTCTGCAGCTGGGCTGTCTTGCCCTCCATGCCAGGTCATTCCTCGGTCACAAATTCCCATTGCTGAGCAGTTACAATCTCAATTTCCCCTTCAGGGATCAGCCTGGGAGGGTGACACAGCTCGAGGCTCACTGTGAATGGGGTTCCCCCTTCCTGAGCCCAGCACCCTGCCCCGCAGCCCCAAGGGGGCTGCTCCAGGCTTCCCCATCTCCGGAGCTCCCGGCACCCCCTGTGCCTGGCCGGGACCGGGGAAGGGGGCAGAGGGCAGCCCAGGACACCCGGGTGGGCAGAGGGGACCTGCCAGCCCACCATCTGCTCCCCACCACCTCGCCTTGACAGGCGAGCAGGTCCAAGCTGCAGAAGGGCCAGGACGCAGGGCCAGCTCCGTGGGGCGAAGACTATCTCCTTTGCTCTTTCCTTGTCCCATGAGCAGCCAGTGAGCCGACCGGAGCACTGCTGATGTCCTCCAGTTTGGATATGGCCATGGGGAGTGGAATTCATCCCTGTCCGACCTCTGGATGCAGGCAGGGGTAGGTCGGGGCTGCACTGCCATGTGCTCCAGTCACCTCGTGCAAGGACCTGTGCCCAAGGCGCGCTGAAGGCTGCCGAGGAAAGGACAAGATGTGCTGCCATCAGCATGGGGTGAGGACTCCCTGGTTTAAATGGGAGCTAAAAAACCTCAGGATGGTTAAACTCAGACATCCCTATGCTCGTGTGCGTGCACACTTGCTGCACGCAGCAGCACCCCTCTGCCCCTGTGTCGTGGTTTAACCCCAGCCAGCAACTAAGCCCCACCCAAAAAGTGAGAAAACATGCGGGTTGAGATAAGAACTGTTTAATAATTGAAATAAAATAAAATAAATTTCTAGTAGTAGTAGTAGTAATAGCAGTAGTAGTAGTAGTAATAATAATAATAATAGTAATAATAGAATATACAAAGCAAGTGATGCACGATGCAATTGCTCACCACCCACCAACCAATGCCCTGCCAGTCCCTGAGCAGTGCCCCCCCCCTCCCCCAGCCTTCCCCTAATTTATATACTGAGCATAACATCATATGGTATGGAATAGCCCTTCGGCCAGTTTGGGTCAGCTCTCCTGGCTGTGCCTCCTCCCAGCTTCTTGTGCATCTCCAGCCTTCTCAGTCAGTAAAGCATGAGAAACTAGAAAAGTCCTTGGCTAGTGTAAGCACTACTTAGCAACAACTAAAACATCAGTGTGTTATCAACATCATTCTCATACTAAATCCAAAACACAGCACTACACCAGCTACTAGGAAGAAAATTAACTCTATCGCAGCCAAAACGAGGACACCCTGCTGGCATTTTCCTACTGAAAGATCCCTTTCCCTCCCACCTGCCCTGTCTCCCCCCGCCGCCTCTCGCCCTGGGATGTGGCTGTGGTGACTCACGCCGGTGGCCGATGGCTCTCGGGGCGGTGGGAGGAAAGGCCAGCGAGTGCATTCGCCGCAGAGGCGGCGTGGAGGAGCGCTGCCGGCTGCGTCCCTGGGGACCCGGCCCTGAGAGCCACCACCGGGGTCCCTGGGGAAGGGGAGCAAAGGATGCTCCCGACAGAAGCACCTTCCTGCTGCTCTCGGAGAGGAGGAAAACGGAGCTGGCCCTGCCGCAGGGCTAACAGGCTGGCAAGAAGCAGCGTGGCAGAAGCGAGCAGTTGTCCCTACCTTGCATGGTGGGTCAGCACCTCCTCTCCTCCTCCACGGTGCTTCTGACAGCCCTGTCTTGTCCTCAGCACCGTGCTGCGCATCCCTCAGCACCTTCGAGCTGAGGCTGTAGGACCTCACCAGGCTGCTTGCTGCCAGACACACTTGTCCCCAGTCTGGCAGCCCGTCCCACATTGCTGTCTCAGTGTGCTTCCTCACCACCGTCCCCTGCTCATGGTACCGAGATGACTGTGAGCAGCGCTTTGCCAAGTCGGGGAAGGCGTTTTCACCCAGCAGTGTTTAACCACAAAACAGAGGCAGAGCATGTGTCATAACTGTCGGGCTGGAGGAGGCGGTTTCAGCTCTGCTCCTCCTCCCACCTCCCCTGCGGGTAAGCAGGGCCCGGGGGGTCTTGGGACCCCGGGCTGCCAGGACAGCCGTGGGGCTGAGGCCACACTGGGATGCCCAGCGCTTGCACAGCACTGGCTCCATGGGCAATTTCCCAGGGCCGCCCTCTGTCCCACCAGATCCCTGCATGGCAGCACTGGTAGCGTCACCTTGGCGAGGGCTGCAGCCCGCCGGTCCCTGTGTCCCCAGCCACCTCTGGCCCCAGACCCTGTTCCCACACCACGGGCTCACTTTCCCAGGGCACGGGGCTGCAGTGCGTACCCGGGTGGGCTCCCCACTCTCCTGCAGCCGCTTCGAAAGGGCTTCGAAAGGCAGCGGGTAGAACGGGAGTGCGTGTGCGAGCAGCCTCCCACGCCGCCCCATGGGGTGACCTTCTCTGCCGGTGCTCAGAGCCTGCAGCGCAGCGCAGGAGACGGGGCGAGCTCCCACACCCTCCAGCTCAGCCCGACGAGGAGGTAAGGGCTGCACCGTCCCCTTGCCTGGGTGGGAAGGGTCTGGCCATGCTGGCGAGGGGCCCCAGGTGTGGGGCAGGGTGCGGGGAGCACACAGTTCAGCTCCTTGCTTACCGAGTTGGGAGGTGATGGGGTGTCCATCCCCCGGGAGGGAGTAATGCATGTTTAGGGGAAGCCCACAGCTCGGCAGGACTGTGCCAGGGGTGAGCAGGAGGGAGAGGCAATGCCATCACCTCTGCAGCAGGCTTGGGCACGTGGCTTTGCACAGATTTGAGTGCACAGGGTGACCCTCCCTATGCCAGGCTTTGCCAGGGCCGGGGATGCAAAGCTCCCATCAGGCAGGGAAGGGATCTCTCTCTTCAGAAAACCTGCAGCAAGCAGGGAGCTTGCAGACCCCATTCGAGGGCTGATCCTGCACGACTGGGACAGTGCCGCAGAGCAGGGCCATGGCACAGTGCTGCTCAGGGCTGGCTCACACTGCCTTTCCGTTAAAGCCACCTGAGTTTTAAAGCTGATGGGGGGAAAAAAGCATGATTATGGCAGAAAAAAGCATCCTGCAGGGCTTCAGCATTAACCCTCGCTGTGTTTGTAGCCCCTATGGCAGTAAGAGCCGGTGGGATTTCCCCAGCGTGGGGAGCATCCGTAGGGTGCTGAGGCCGGCAGCTCATCACAGAGATGGGAGGTGAAACTTGCGGGGGTGGTGGGAACTGCAGCTGAAGCTCAGAAAGCCAGATGGGTAACACAGCACCCAGCAAACCTCCACAACAGCCCGGACCACCCTGCCACACCACCCCTTCTCTCCCCTCCCATGGCTGCGGGGACCAGCCACGGCCTCACCTCTCCTCTCCATCATCCCTGCTCCCCATACCCCTGTACAAGGGGGTTTGACCCCTTGTCGCTACGTCCATTCTGCCCTGGTGCTCCTGCCTGACCCCAGCCCCTAAGGAGGGGTTTCCCTTACCCCTCATTATCCCTCTCCACATTCCCCACAATGGCCCTGAGCTGTCACAGTGAGATGGGGACGGGAGCCAGCCCAGCCTGGCCCTGCCATGTGCTAATGCCATAATGCCTAATGCTCTCCTGGTGCAGGAACCGGTGCTGCTGGCCTGGGATCCGGCATCGCAGCCACTGACCACCCGGTGTTCCCCATCCCCTGTAACCCTCTGCTCGGTGCTCTCCTAGATGCTGCTGCTCTCGGGGCTGGATGGGTGAAGCAGCGTTGCTGGGACCTGCCCACAGCCCACGCAATGTCCCAGGACACGGGGCTGCCCGATGACGGCAGCCAGAGCAGACCCCGCGCAGGATGGCTCAGCCCGCTCAGCCTGCCCCTGAAGAAGCGGGAGGTGATGGAGAGGAAAGCCCTCCCGGCCGAGGGCAGCCCCGGGCAGCCGGGCTCTGGCAGTGCCCTGCCAGCCACCCTCCGCCAGCCCTGCCTGCCTGGGGGGGAGCAGGCAGCTGCCCAGGTGCTGCCCAGGGCTGCCTGGCTCTCGCCCAGCTGGGTGAAGCCAGGGGCTTCTGCAGGGATCCAGCAGGCGCAGGGAAGATCCCCTCTGCCAGGGCGTGTGCGGGATGGTGACATCATGGCGGGGCAGAGGGAGCAGCACTGGGCTGCGGGCAGCCTCCGGGCACCGCGGCTGCCTGCAGAAGGGGCTGGGACACCTCTGACCCTGAGGCCACCCCCCAAAACTATCATGGAGCCAGGAGCTGCCTGCACGCCGTGGCCTGGACATCGCTCAGCAGGCAGCATGCAGGCAGGCAGGCCAGAGGGATGGGGACAGTGGTGGCCCTGCCAGGGCACTGGTCTCCAGCCAGCCCTACTGCACAGGCAGGGGCTGAGCCTGGTGGGGGGACAGAGCTGGACAGGGGCCTCCCCCTGGCCACACCGCTGCCCGCAGCCTGTATTACACAGGCGCAGGTGTATTACGGACTGCCTGCCCCCGGCTTGGCAGTGGGTGCAAACACCCCTCGGAGTCCCCCAGCCCCTCACCTCTGCCTTCAGTTGGCACTGCCCCTCCGCAGCCACCTCCTGGGGCTGCTTCCCCATATGGGAAGGGCAAGGAGAAGCCTCCTGCTGACGCTCCAGCCTCCTGCATCCCCACGATGCCCACACCTGTCCCTACCCACCTTTCTGCCTCCGTGATGCTGTCTCCCACGGGACCGTCCCATGCATTGGTCTATTCCCAGCCGCTCTGCCCTGCAGTTGCGTACTGGCAGCGCCGAGCCCCGTCCCATGCCGGCGGGCTCTGGTCCCTGCTGCTGCCGACAGCGAGCACAGCCTTTGCACTGCCCCACTTCCAGCGGGGCTCCCTGACGGTGCTGCCCGGGGGCCAGCAGAAGAGGGTGGAGGATCTGCAGGTGGAGGATTTCCTGGGGTGCACGGCAAGTGTGGAGCTGCACCTCAGCCCCTGTCTGGTGCAGGGCATCCAGAGGAGCCCACGTGCCGGCTTTGCCTGCCTGCAGGTCTGCCTCGGGGACCAGGACAGGCAGGTGCGTAAGGTACCATCCTATGGAAAAAAGGGAACACTGGGGAAGCCAGGAACCCCCTGCCCACCCTGCCCAAACACACAGGGTACGCGGCAGTCACCAACACAAGCAACCATCCTTTGTGCTCCCGCAGCTCTTGTTACCCAAAGCAACTCCATGGGCTCTGCAAATGCTCTTGCAGAGTGGGACTGGCCAGGCCTGAGCAGATCCTGGCCTCCTGATGGCTGGATTGGTGCTGGCTGGCCCAGTCCCTTCAGTGGAGGGGGTCAGCGGCCAGGGAGGGCCGGGGCGGGCGAACCCCAGCTCTGCCACGGACGTGCTGCACGGCCTCGGTCATCTCCCTTGATGCGGGAGGATAAAAAGGCGCTGCGATGTCTGGCAGGGCTGGTGGGTTTACCAGGGGCGAACACACCGTGGCTGAGCATGGCTGCCAGCGCGGCTGGGAAGGAGCCAGCCTGCCCAAATTGCAGGGCAAGCAGGCGAGAGCAGACGGCGGGGGGGCTGCCCCCACCCCAGCCTGACACAGGACCTCTCCTCACTCTGCCCAGGTGTCTGCTGAGGTGCTCCAGGAATATCCCTTCTTCGCCCTGGGCCGGGGCTGGGTGTCCTGCTGCCCGCACATGACTTCCCAGCTCTACCAGCTCCCATGCCAGCAGCTGGCCGTCGGGGACATCTGCATGGTGTGGAGCCCAAGGACATGGGGACACGGCAGCCCCAGGGCTTGGCAGGAGCCTCCACCGGCACCATGCCGGGACCGCTAGTGCTGGGACCGGGCTCTCCTCCCTCGGGACACAACATGGCCAAGGAGCTGGCCAGCTCCTGGCATGGAGCGGTGCTGCGAACCCCAGCCAGGGAGCACCTCGGTGCAGCCCGGCTCCCCCTGCCTCGTCTCGCCTCCCCGACCCTGCGGAGATGCTCATTTCTCAGCAGCCACATTCCTTCGAGGGTGTTTATGGCTTTTTTGTCTCCCTGCTGTCCCAAGCTAAAATCGCCCCTTTTAAGGGAGCCGCAGGACCGCCGGTCACTGGAGCCTCGCTGGCAAAGGCTGCTCCCTTGCAATGTACCATCGCGTTTACTGGGAAAGCAGCCTTGCCTTGTTTTTCTCTTGACTCCACAATTTACTGATCGAGTCAAGCTCCGGCTCACTCCCAGCCCTGTCCACGCACGCCTCCTAGAGAATAAGATCTATTTTCACCAGCGAGTGATTCACCTGCCTGGCACTGGTTCACCTGTCCCTTAGCAGCCGACTCCTTCCCAGCTCCATCCATGGCCGCAGCTCCCTGACTCACGTCCCGAACCTCTAATAGATGGGAGAAACCTGAGCAGGAAGGGCAGGAGGAACAAGTCACGTTACATTTTCTCCTGGTGACGGGTGCACTTTGATGCTGACTCCCCTGGGGACTTTTGGCAGGAGCTGAGCTCTGTGTCGTGGAGAGAAGAGGCATCATTCCTACCTGAGCTTGTGACCCGGATCTCCAGGGGACACCTCCCAAGGACCTGGGCATTTGCGGTTAGGGCGAGGGCTCTTGACACAAGACAGTGCCGTCAGCCTGCACTGGAGGCACAAGGGAGACGGGGATGCTGCGGCGGCCAATGCAGACCTTGCAGGTATCTGGCAAGACTTATTCTTACGGCTGCCTACCAGAAGTGGAGACTCTCCACCGACTTTGGTGTCACCTCTGTCCCCTCTCGCCTTTTGGCCAGGGGCAGGCACGCTCGGCCACGAGCGAAAAAAAAATCATTATGTGGAGCTGGCTTGCCTGTGTTGGTTTAATTGGAATAAAATGGGTGCCCTGCTGAGCGGCACGGCTTGTGCTGAAGAGCCGGGATGAGTCAGGCTCCGTGCCGATGATATCACTGCTTTTCCACCCCCTTCCCAGCAAGGCAGGATGGAGGGTCCGCAGCAGCGGGGGGCTTGGTGCATGTCACTCTGTGTGGGCAGCACCCAAACGTGCCATCCCCACGGCAGGGACTGGGGCTGCAGGGAGCCCTGGGGAGCTCGGGGTGCTCTGGGGGACTCGTGCGCACAGAAACAGCCTCCACGCCTCGCAGTAGTAACCGGTGCCAATTGACACAGACATGTCACATAGCAGAGACCTGAGCTAATTCCCCGGCCCGGCCTCCTTCTCTCGCCGCTGGCAGAGCAGGGCAGGGCCAGGGGTCAGCAGGGATGGTGGCAAACGGCTGATGCTGCCCAGAAGCCATGCCAGACCACAGGGAGCTGTGAGCAAGCCACAGCCGGCAGGTACCCAGCAGAGATTTGCTTCCGCAGCTCCTCAGAGACCATGAGCCCCTGCTTGGGCTGCACCAGCCTGGCCCCCCCCAGCCCTCCAGGGCCAAGCCACAGTGCTGGCATCCTACGCTCAGGTGGAAACCATCAGGCAGGACCAAGGGTGCTTTTTGGATAAGGATAAACACTCACGTGGGCACAGCTCATCCCTCGGAACCACTGCCGTGTGTGTGAGCTGAAGCCAGCAGCTACAGGCGAGCACACAGGGTGCGGGTACCGGCTCCCCAGCACAAAGCCGGTTTTTGGCAGCAGGAGCTCCCCGGAGACAAGGGGGGACAGCAAAGCAACAGTAGCCAAAACAGAGCTGGGACACAAACAATACCCAGTTATCTTTAGTCATCCAGACAGTGAGAGAAACACACTGAGAACGGGGCAGGCGGGACACGCCACAGACACTGGAAACTCCCTTTCAGCCAGAGAAAAGGGCAGAGTGGATGCTCCCCCTTCTCGGCTTGGCAGTGACCAGCTGCGGTCAGAGCTGGCGCTGGGCACGGCGAGGCACTGACTCACCCTGCTGAGATACAGGAAGGAGGCGAGCGGCCAAGTCCGCTTCTCTGCCAAGGAGCAGCCCTGATGTGCAGGGCTGAACGTGGGAGAAAGCACCCCAGAGTGGGGTCTGCTGGGGGGCGAGGGTCTCCGAAGGCCTGGGGTGAGCTGGGGAGGGAGCCCACGGCCCATCCACGCCGTGTGCTGGCATCTCTCCCGCGTGATCGTGTGAGCTGGGTGTTTAGAGAAGAGAAGCAAAAAAAAGAAAAAGCAAGCATGATGGTAACTGTGCTCCGGGCCCAGGCCCAGAGCCCCCTGCCTCCAGCCCTGCCCACCCCTGCCACGCGTGGCAGAGCTCCTGCCGGAGCAGGGCACCTGCAGCCGGGCACGGGGGGCACAGAGCTCTGCCTGGGGCGGCTGTGGATGGGGGGGACCCTCTGCAGGGACCCTCCTTGGGGACCAGGGACCCTGCGTGGGGTCTCTCTGTGGGTCCCGGGAACGCAGAGACCCTCCGTGAGGACCGGGAACCGTGCCTGGGGACCCTGCTCTCCCTGGGGACCAGGGACCCTGCGCGGGGACCCCCCGCAAGGACCCTCCCTGCGGACCGGGCACCCCGCACAGTGAC